TATATATACACATTTCTCCTTTTTCTTCTCTTACTTTTTCTTCTTCTCTATAGTAAAACAAATGAGAAACTAAGAAACTAACGTTCAGTTCTGTTTTCTACTAAAGTGACTAAAAAAAGAGATAGATTTTATCAAAATCCAGCAAATCCCTTAATTAAAGAAAACCATCACTAAAAATCAAATTATATGACTTTAAAATAAGAAGAGAACACAGAAAAGATAAAGTTGACTTCTGTCACTAGTGACCAAAAGAGAGGTGTTGAAACTATTTTATGTTTGGGGCCAAATAAAATTTTAACAAGGGCCATATTTGGCCTGCAAGCCTTTAATTTGACACGTGATCTCTAAACAGAGGCTGTTCTAAGATATGTCTACAACAAGTGAGATGTGAATCATTCATGTTTGTCTAATCCCCATTTCAAATAATCTGAGTTTTTCTTATTTATTAGTAAATAGTAGAACCATATTTAGTAGCACATGAGGAAATCTGCCCAACTTCTCTTTACGATAACGTTCCAACTGAGAGGAATCTGTCACCACATGACTCATTACAACATTTTAATGTGGTCAAAATCTGGACTTCAACTGAGCTGTTTTTGATTACTGTCTTTGTGAAACATTTTACTGTAAACTCTTTGAAATGTTGCTTCCTCTTTCTCGCCTTCTTCTCTTAGTTTGCATCAGCACATGCTGGAAACCACCAATAAGATGTAAGATGGGAAAAAATAAGCATGACTTGTCAATTCTTTAGAAAGAAAATCAAATTTGTAAATTTTCAATCCTGTTGATTTTTGAGTACTTGTTTTTGCCCATGTTTGTCTGTACATGTGGTGTTTACATGTTTTTTTGTGGTATAATTACAGTTTTATCATCCTCTTTTACATCACTTCATGTGTCGATACTCAGAGGGCGTCCACTGATTGTTGAAAAAACCTGAAGTAATCACTTCTTCTTCTTCTTTTATTTGTAATTACAACACAGTCTTGCATTTGTGTGCACTTTCCTTTCAGTTTTTGTTTCCAGGTTTGTCCTGAAAATCATCAAATTGATTTTTTTGTTTTACCACCACCCCGATTTATTACATTTAGGGGAAAAAACTAATGAAAGGATTACGATTATGGTATTTTAATTCCCTACAGAACACCTGAATTTGTTTTGACTGCATTTTTTAAAGTAACATTTTTCTCAATGAATCATCAGAGTTTTGTTTTAATTTTTCTCCTAAATGCAGGTTGAAATCTACGGAACTTGTTGCTCAGTTAAATTGCAGTATCAGTGAATTTTCAGGTTTCAACACTGATGACAAGTACCTCGAAAAAGTCCTAAAAGTAGAAACCTTTCACAAGAGCAATGCTGCTCATCGAAGTTCATACAAAATGAACTTTAATGGTAAAGGGCACTTTTTTAATGAAAAAAAAAAGCTGAAATGTTTTTATTCTTATCTTGACTCATCAAAACCTCCAATGCAGTTTGGAAAACAAGTCTAATGAGTCAAAAATTACTCCTTAATAAGTTTGTTAGTCAAGTTGTCTGTCATAAAAAAGCATTTTACAGTTTTTTTTCTCAAGCCTCTGTTTAAAAGTTAGAACTTTCATTAATTTTTCATAAAGTTTTATGGAAGGCAACACTGTTATTTATTTAGTTGTTGTCAGAATGTAAAATATAAAGCTTATCCTTTAAATTTGTGTGTTTTACTGAAGTCAGAAAAGGTTCTTTCATCTAAAGTTCAACTTTTCTCTTCGTAAGAAATGAGTGTAGCGCCCCCTGCTGGACAGCATAAGGTGTTACACTCAAATCAAAACAAACTTAAGGGCTTCTAAAGATAAACACTAAGTTTACTGAATTAATAAACATCGTTTTAAAGACAATTGGACACCAATCTGATATAAATATGAAAACAATGTTTTTATATCCTGATATTATAGATTTATGAGTGGGAGTAACTATTACTATCCATCCATCCATTTTCTGTAAAAGTCTGATACAATAATTATTTCAATATAAAATGTCTTTTAAAAAATCATCCTAAAACAAAAAAAATGCAGAATAAGGAATGTGCCCTTGTTAAATAATTTATTGAAAGTTTGTCATGTTAATTTTTAGCTGAAAGATTTTAAAAAATGATTTCATGGTTTAAAAGAACGACGCTTGACAGTTTAGTCTGTGTGCCAGAATTACAAATGTCTATTTTCTTTTTTCAAAGAAAAAGGGAAAAAGAAGAAAGTCTGGCGCTGGGCTCAAGAACTGATTTATTCTTCTCTTGTGACTGGTGCACAATAGCTCCCAGTGTGCTGAGAAAGGCCTCCACCTCCAGGAGCCGAGCCAGTGAAGCGTGGTGATCAGGAGCGAAGCGGAGCGTCGAGAGAAAACTTAATGCCTGACTAAACTCAGCCGTGTTGCTGTGGTGATAATGAGCAAATTAAACATGGAAAACCACAGATTCTGTCTCTCTGAACAGGAACTGATGTTTGCATTTCAGAGGTGGGCAGTGACGAAATCAAACGTATTTACTTGAGTGCTGTAGGCCTGATTTAGGCCTACAGTTTTTGAGAATTTGTACTTTAGGCTACTTGAGTAGCCATTTTATCAAAAAATTCTTCTTTCACTCCAGTACATTTTAACAATAAAATCATACTTTTTACTCCACTGATGGCTTTAGTTTTCACTGGTTATTTTTTGGCCTTGTTGTGTACACCAAAAAAAAAAACCATTGGATTTCATTAAAAAATACTTTACATTTACTTTACATTTAAATGTAACTAAATCCACTACATCAGTTTTTTGAGTGTATTTCACGTCTGTTTTGTTCCATTGACACACTAAAATTACACACTACACCCCCATACAGTAGGTGGTAATAAGCAGCTTTAAACTGGTTGTGAGAATAACAACAACAACAACAACAACAACAACAACAACAACAACAACAACAACAATAATAATAATAGTATTTTTTGTCCTAATAGTGTTGCCTTATACAGTAGATACAATATAGGTATACTAGAAATGTTTCAGCACTATTGCAGGTCCATCAGACAGCTGCAGCTGATCCAGAACGCAGCTGCTCGTGTTTTGACTAAAACCAGGAGGACAGAGCACTGAGTCCTCACACTGGCTCCCTGTAACTCAAAGAATAGACTTCAAAATACTCTTATTAGTTTAGAGATCACTTAACAGCTTAGCACCACAGTACATTAAAGACACGCTGTTGCTGTATCAACCTTCCAGACCTCTCAGGTCTTCTGCATCCCCAGAACCAGAACCAAACATGGAGAAGCAGCATTCAGCTTCTACGCACCCCAAATCTGGAACAAACTCCCAGAAAATAGTGAAACAGCCGAAACACTGAGTTCTTTCTTTTAAATCAAGATTGAAAACCCACCTGTTCAGAGTTGCTTATGAAACATTATAAATGAAACATTAATCAGCACTTTTATGTGTAACAATAGCACTCGACAAACTGTAATGCTTCAGTTAACTGTGTGCTATGACTTTCTATTTTTGTTTTTATTATGTAAAGCACTTTGAACTGCCTTGTTGCTGAAACGTGCTACAAATATACTTGATTTTTTTAAATCCTGATTAGTCTTCCTGATTTTGACAAGCGTTTTAGACTTTTATTCCCTTTCTATGGAAGCCCATTTCCGCCACCCTGATAAAAAAAAATATGAGATACTATCTCATAATTATGAGATAGTATCTCATAATTATGAGATAATTAACTATCTCATAATTATGAGATAGCTAAGTCATAATTATGAGATACAAGTTTTATTTTTTTTTATCAGGGTGGCGGAAATGGGCTTCCATACTTTTCTACCAATTAACTTTGTTAAATATTTTTTGTTCGAAGGCGTCTCTGTTCATTGTAACAAATATTTACATTTGAGGGAACCAGTACAAATATTACAAATATCAACTAAAAAGCTCAGTGTGAAATGCTTCCCTGAAAGATTAGATTTAGTGTGCTGATGCATCTCAGTAATCCAGGTAGAAAAATCAAAAAGAAAATATTAGGTCCTCTGGACGGGTTCTTCTTTAATGAAACGTTCACCTGAAACTCCTCAGATTGAAGAAGTCTCTTGGAGGAGAGACGAAACGTTTCATCAAGAGTGTCTTCAGTAAGAGGCTTCTTCAATACAGAGCCCTACAGAAGATCTTTCCTGCCCACGGCCATCACCAA